TGACTCACATCAATATCCTGTGGGTTTCTGAGACTGTAAATGCTTACCGGAGTAGAGCATCCGGTCTTTCTCCTGAGGAGCTGCTCATGGTTTTGAACTGCTGACCCGGAGGATCACAGCCCAATGCATAACCACTACACCACCAGGGTTCTTTTAAAAGGCAGCAGTTGCAACAAATACATCCAAAAGGGGATTCAAAATGCATCAAAACTCTCCTACCTAACTGGAAACACAGTGAACCCAGACAGATGAACCCCCAGGACCAGTGGAGAGAGTGTGATAGTGGGAGGGTGGAGGGAAGGAGAGGGAGAAAAGGGGAACAGATGACAAGGTCTACATATGGCCTCCTCCCTGGGAGACAGACAGCGGAGAAGTGGGTGAGGGAGACGTCGGATGGGGTAAGCTATGATGAAAAAATAATAATTTATAAATTATCAAGGGTTGGGGGGAGGGGGGCAGGGAATGAGGAGCTGATACCAAGGGCTCAAGTAGAAAGAAGTTGTTTTGAGAATGATGGTGGCAACAAATGTACAAATGTCTCTGACACAATGGATGGATGGATTGTGATAAGAGTTGTACGAGCTCCCAATAAAATGATTTTTTTTAAAGAAAATTGAAGATACATGGAAACAATGAATCCAATGGCATCATGGGCCTTGCAAACACCAGTCTCCATGACCCTGAGATCAGAAGCACTAGGTGGTGCCCGGCCACCGCTATAACTGCTCTGCAAGAAATCACAGTAGAAGATCCTGGATAGAGCTGGAGACAAATGTGGAACATACTCAAAATCATCAAAAGACCAGGCTTTCTGGTTGGATAGAGGCTGATGGACTCTCCAAGGCCATGGCCCTTAGTCACTCTTCAGGTCTAGAGATGAACTCACCCCTGAGACTAAACTTTCCGCCAAAGAGTAAACAGATCTGTAAGAGGAATAAGAATATTAGTATTGTATGCATACCTTAAAATGATCATCCATTTGAGATCAAAAGAACAGCATTTGCCCAAGGACAAAGTTCAGAAGGTGAGGTGAGGAGGAGGAAAGGAAGCAGGAAACACCAGGAGGAAGTGGGCTAAGTGATGCTGCACTGTGGGGTTTGTAATTAAGGCAATGAAACAAAACGTGTGTGGGTCGTTGACTGGAAAATGGACCTGCTCTGTAAATCATCGCTCAGTTCATAATGAAAAGTTTTGGTTTTTAATTGCACGAAAGCAAACCTCTCAATCCTTGCCCCTCTCCCACCCACAAACTCTCTAATCTGCTCTTAGATTCCACTCCAAGGCCAGGCTCTCTGCTCACTGCCCCTCACCCCACTTACTCCTGCACGGACCTGTCCTCACACTTTTTCGTCCCCTTCCACCATCTCCTTTGCCCCTCCCCACTTTTTTTTAAAGCCTAGCCTCATGCAGTCTGTCTCATTGACAGTCTGTCTCATTGATACCCTTCACTGTTATAGACTCAGTTTGCCATTTGTAGAGGGGAATCGCACTGCTCATCTGCCAGGGTGTTGCCAGGGCGAACTACGGGTATGTCATACAAAGCACATGGCACAGAGAGGGGCTGGCCTGGAAGCCAGGAGCTCATTTTCTTCATTTGAGACCTGGTCTGCTTGATGTACATCGTCTTAACAGACGGTTCTTCATTCTTCCAAGTCCCGTGACATGTGTTATGTCCTCAATTTTAACTGTTGGCACTGGGCCCTGGGCCCTCACAGAGCCAAGGCATGGCCCTGGGCTGGGTGGCTGCTATCCCATACCTTCTGGCCCTGACCAGTGCGACCTCCTGTCTCATGCTGGGCAGGTGGAAGAGCTGCCTCTGAGGCCACCCTTGGTCTATCCACTGCCCTGGATTCACCTTGGTCAGGAGAACATCTGGGTCCATCTTAGAAGCATGCTCTAAGGTTCAGGCTACCCTGTTGGCTTTCACCTTCGCCATGTACCAGAAGTCAGGCAAGGGCACCTGGCTGGTTGTGGGCCCAGACAAGTGGGGGTGATGTGTCCAACCCCTATCTGTCTATGCATGGGAAGGTTCTTCATAGGCCCTAACCTTGTCTAGGGGCCCCTCTCATTGAATAGACTATGTCCAGTGCTCCACAGCCTCTCTCCAGACAGGCAAGTGCTGAGATTATCACGGAGGCCAAAGCTGATGGGAAGGCTGGTCCCAAGCCATCTGGTTAACAGCCCACTGCTGTGGGATTGAATCAGTACAGAGGCTCTGACACCACTCTCAAACCCTTTTGCCCAACTATGCGCTTGCATGCTTGTGTGTGCATGCTCACACGCGCACGCACACGCACACACACACAAGCACACACTCACACACACGCACGTACTCACACACTCGGGTGCCAGAGCCTCAAATGGGTGTTACCTCCTCCAACATGGACCTGGGACCCCAGCTCACCCAGCAGGGCCAGCTTCCGGGCTGGGCTCTGCATTTTGGACAGCCTCTCCTTCATGCCCATGATGTTGCTGTGCAGTCCCCAGGCCGTACAGAGCTTGGGCAGACAGTCTTCCTGGTTGGCCAGCAAGGAGCCCTCCAGAGCATCAAAGGGGCAGAATGCCACCTGCAATGAGGCCAGTGTTCAGAAGGCTTGAGAAGAGAGGGGCTAGCCTAGCCTGCCCCTAGCCTGCCCTTGTGGGGACACTGCTGCTGTCTGGCTGCCCCTCCCGCCTCACCAGAAAACGGGGAGAAACCACAGAGCCAGGCCAGGTGGTCACCTGGCTCTAGTTTGCAATCCCGGCCTCTCCCTCTTTTTAGAGTTGAAGTAACTTGTTTGTGTGTTGGCAATGAAAAACCGGGGCTGATTTTCTTTTCAAGTCCTTTTTTAGGTGAAATTAAAGTTGGGAGTCTGAAAGTGATTTTTGGTGTTTTCCTGACCAGGGAAACTCAAGTACCATCGAAATGACAACCCCTCCGATTGTGAGCAGTGCACACGGCCACGGCTCAGCTGTGAGTGTGGAGAGGGGGCAGCAGACCCAGCGAGAGAGGCTGTGGCTGTGAAGTTGCTGGGACGCTGTCACGTTGGCTCGATCCACAGCCTCACCGTGGTTATGTCTGAGCTCGGTGCTGTCACCACTGTGCCTGCCTTCCTCTTGCTCACTGGCCTCTACTTTACAAAGCAGATGGCCCTCCTAAGACCACGTCCAAAGCATGTGAGATGAAGCCTTGCTCACTTCCCTTTGCTGTACACACCTCTTCATTGCTCTGGCAGTCCATCCATGGGGCAGTGAATACGCTTCACCAGCACCATGGCTCCAAGCTCTCGGTTATTCGTGCGTGTGTGGGGAGAGCTGGGCTTTTGTCCGAGACAGACCTGGCTGCCGTCTCCACTCGCCCTTCCCATTTGCCTGTGATCTGCGGCAAATGGCCTTGGCCCTCTGCGTTTTAGTTCTTCCTTTACAAACTGTGACTCCTAGCTCGGACGACCACTTCGGGTTCCTTTTGAAAATGGTTATGTTCCGTGACACATAGAACATTTCTATCATTGTGGCCTATCAGCACCATTTCAAATCAGTGGTATTGCAAGTGTGGCTGGTGGATTCCTGGGGAGGCGGCGGGGTGTACATGTGGGGTGTCACTGAGATTTTGTTTAACCTCATGAGTGCCCTGAAAAATGGAGTTCACTCAAAGTATGAGACCAATGACCTTGAATGTGACCTCGCATGAAAAGTCACAGATATGGTCACAAATTCTACATTTCAACTAAGCTTTCGGTAACAACCACTTATCAAGTTTGCGTATGGTAGCAACAAAAAAAAATCATAATTTCTGAAAAGGCTTTTATAAAAGGCTCTTTTCCACTTATCTATCTGAGTGAGGCTGGATTTGTCTACATGTTCCTCAGTCAGAACTATGCATCACAGCAGATTGGCTGCGTAGCAGCTATGAGGCTCCAGCTGTCTCCCGTCAGATCAGGCATGAAAAAGATTTGCAAAAATGTAAAACAAATGCCACCTTTCTTTCTAAAATTGGAGGGGAGTATTGTTATTTGCCATGAAATTCTATTACTTATCCTAACAAGTAATAGGTTCATTGTTTTTATTTGTAATTGAGTAAATAACTACATATTTATATTTGTCCTTAGCTTTAATTCCCAATTGGGTAAATATCAATTGATACCATCCAGATAAATGAATGCTTTGGGGTTCTCAGTGATTTTCAAGGGTGTCAGAATATGCTGAGACCACAATGATTGACAACTATGATTCTGGAGAAGCCCGGGTCAGAGTGATGTCAGTGGTTCCCGG